ATATATATAACTTTAATCACTATTATTTTATATATATATATATATATATATATTATTTTTTTTTGTTCTTTTATTTAAAATTTGTTGTAAACGTTTAACTTGTTATTAAACATATATAAAATATGTTCTTATAATATTTATAAAAGTTTTCGTAATTTTTATATTTATAAATAATTTAAAACATTTTGCAAACGCATTATTGCCGTATTTACTGATATAGTCAGATCACTACTTACAGAAAATTAAGCATTATTAAATCCTTTTTAATTCTTTGAAATTTTTAAAAATATTTATAAAAAAAATATGATTAGTTATTTTTTCCTTATTTTTTTCTATTGATATTCTATTTTCTAAATTTAAATTTTTCTATTTTTAATTAATAATATTATTATTATCTTTTTTATTAAAGAGCTAACATAGATAAATACTTACTGTGAATGATTGACATCAATAACGTGTGGCATCTTGCGAGTTTTTCTGATTGTGGAGACAGATGGTGCGAAAAGATGTACAGTACGGTTGATCTTTGGAATTGAAATTAAGTTGAGAGGATTGCTTCTGACGAAACAGCAATTAATACAGATGTTTCTTTTGCTGTTGAATTGTCGCGAAACTCGCATCAAATTCGTCCAACTATATAGTTTCGGTAGCATGTTGCTGTCTGTAAAACACCTCTTTTATATGCGATCGCAGAACGTATTTGCCTACAGACGAGCCCCGATGATCCTCCCGTTTGATTGGTCGATAAGAAGAGTCGCCGTTGGAGTCGCCTTCTGATTAATAAGTGGGGAGTATAAAATCGTGACGTTTCGGACAGATATACAACGATGATAAAATAGTCGTGGCTAAGAATTGTATGCTGTGACTAGTATAATACTTCTGATATGCGCTATGCTTTGTCCTTGATAATCAAAACCTTTCGACTTTAGTTTTTCAAAATTCGAAAAAATAGTTATCAATGGAAGAACAAACATTCGAATATCAATTAATGCAAAAAGTACCAAGATATATTTTTAAACTATGAATTATTATCGAAAACAAACGGCAAAAATTTAACAAACTAACGAAAAGAGCATCAAACAAAGCAAATATCAAGAAAGTAACAGATATCCACTATACACATGCTATACCACAGCGTGAAACGATATGTGAACTCACTACATATTTCACGAAAGTAAAAGTTACTTGATAGCGATGACGTTGATTAAACTCGCTTTCGCATTAAATTAAAACCAGTGATTGGACGGATTTTATACCGAAAGTCGTCAGTCGTTCTCGCTGTTCTATTTTCATGTAACCGCTTGCTTGCCCACTTACTTTCCACTATCTATTTTACACAATCTTATTTACCATCAATACCATCAGAAAAACTACTATCCATACGAGTAAAACTATTATCCGTACTTTGCACAAGTTTAATTATCCAGCTGCAATGACAGGATTGTGCCTTATATTTAGGCACTCGAACTCACTCGTTTCACAGTTAAACAGTGATAAACATAAAACAGTGATAAGTGATAAAGACTCATAGAACTTTATTTAATCATGTTTGTAAGTAACTGATATATCATTCAAGAGACTAGGAATTATAGCATTGAGATCATATCATCATTATCAAAGTCATATTTATATGCTTTTTTTAATAAGTATCAGATAAAATATATTCTACAGAGGATTACATGAAAAATTATAATAACATATATTATAACAATACATTCTATACGCATATATGTGTGTGTGTGTGTGTGTGTGTGTGTGTGTGTGTGTGTGTGTTGTTTTA